TTCTCTATCGAGAAAAAATGTTGCGTTTGCAGATGCTTTCTGATTTACGAGTAAGGGAACGACAAAAATCGTATTTAGTAGTAGTAAAGTTCGTTATGAAAGAGCACGTCTAGTGAAGTACTCCACCTTACTTATTTCTGGGGCCAAGCAGTAATGTGAGCATTACGTAGTAGAACATTATTAGTAGACCAAATGGGAAAATAGACCAAATGGGAAAGTAGATTAAACGGGAAAGCAACCAGGAAAGTAGACGAAATGGGAAAGTGGACCAAACAGGAAAGTAGACCAATCGGGAAAAACAAGCGGACCGATCGGAAAAGTAGACCAATTGTACCGAAGGAGTTGAAATTTCAGACATATGCCACATGTCAGCTTCTATCTCAGGGTGACGGGAGCAGTGGCAGTGCCTCATCAGATATATGCGATTTTAAATGTGGAGTACTGTAACTGTTCCATAACAGTCTGCCCATGCAGACGTGTCGCATCACTAGGTGTACAACTTATTCATTCCATCACCTGGAATCATAAAATGTCTTTTTTATATTTTTCCTAGATTCCACTCAAAAAAAAAAAAGAAATTTTGTGTAATTCAAAGTGTGTCGTAATTATCAGTCTAGGCCTACTGTGCACCACGGGGTACACAACATGTCGCTTCGATGCGCGATTTAACGGTGGAGGTGACGATAGCTGTGTTGGCACGGCGACTGCGAAGCGACAGGCAAAATGTAGTGCAGTTCACAATGTAAAAAAAGTGAGGTGACCGAACTTAGACCAAGTCCGTGTTGTTTAAAATTATGATACTGGACATACAACGTATCGGACTGTTCTTATAGTTATGGTTTTTGTACTATAATCATAAAAAATCGTCGCCTTATCGCTAGAAGATACGAGTATATGTACGCCATTGATGTTCATCATTTTCCAATAGAAAAAGATATTGTGATATTTTAGAATTCTATTTTCATTCTACATGTTTTAATTGAGCATTAATTTACAGACAGAGTACAGCCTGTAGAAGCTGGGGTTATAAAGTTGATATAGGTTATGTTTATAACATTGTCCTGTTTTATGCTTCAGATATTTGTTCGTAGTAACAGATAACAACTAGTTATTAGTTTGTTCCCAAAAATAATAAAGAACTTGCCGAATATTCTCAAATCTGCCAAACTCTGCCACATTTAGTATAAGTTATCATGTTCTGCAACAATGAAAATGAATAAAAATTTAATCTACCGAAATGACAGGAACCCGTCACAAATGGTCACACTGATCTCAATATCAACGTGACATTGACATTGGCAAGAGGTCTCCTGTCAAAACGTTCCTTTGCAACTTTCATTATCTCTCAATTAAATATTGTCTTAATATTTTTGTCACATTGTGTTTTATTTTTTGCTTTATGTCGTTACTGTTTAGTTGATCATTTCATTAGGTATTTTATAGCTTTAATGTTTTATGTGTGTACTATAAAATAACCAATAGGTAATTCAGGTCGGTAAACATTTAATCATGCTTAAAATGAAACGTACGTACAATAATGTTACCTAATCTATAGTCGAATTGAATCAATTGCGTTGTGTTTTTACATCTATTCTAAAATACAATGCTTGCAATTTCTTTATTCCCGACTTCTAAAAATATAGGAAAATATAGTTCGGCATAAACTAACACGCAAAATTATACTAGCAAAGTCCATGAACGGTTCTTCGTCGTTATTGGAGCAGCTTTCGCTACCCTTCTTTGAATTTCTTTCTATGATCTTAATTCATGTTACCCCACGTTGTATGTAACGTTATGGTACGGAGTACTCAATACTTAGTACGCAATGAGTACTGAGTATTAACACATACAAAGTTATAGGAAATAAAACTACACCCACCAGCATGACTATAAAGTTTTAGTGCCTCGACTTCTGCTTATAATACTAACGCTGCCGCTGTCTTTCTATAAAGTAAGGTTTGATCGAAACAAGGTTACCTTTCAAGACATAGACAAACAATACTGAATATTTTATGGATTCATGCCTTGTGTTTGTAATATCGGGTAGTGTCCCCGGAGCGACTCTGGTATTCATGGTACTTACAATTCCTTAGTTGTTAATACCAGGACAATTGTTGTTGTTTAATGATATAAAGCCATTCCATGTTGTTAATAGGAAAATTTTGTAAAATAAAGTCTAAGCCATCACGCGTCCTAGAGACACACTATCTGTAATGATTTTAGTTTTTTTTTTTTTCAATTTTTATCGTATTATAAATTTTATAATTTTTTTAAATGGTGGATGATAACAAAGCTACACGTTAGAGACAATAGGATGCTACAGTACCATAATATCAGGTTAAAAAAGAATCCCGGTTACTCATTTTTTACTAATGACAGTTTGACTGCCTCAGTGGCCGAACGGATACCTGCTGGGCCTACATTTATTGCATGGCCTACATTTATTTCTCTCGTCAGTTTGAGTGTAATTTGTGGGTGTGTATTTGTCCATCGCACCCGCCACAGACCAAACTGGCACCCGCGATACAGGGTCTCTCTATTACGGGGCTATGAGTGTGTGCGTTATAGATATATAGTTATAGATAGCATTTTTAACACCCGACACAAAAAGGGGAGTAAAAGTTCATTTCATAAGTTGGACTTACCGGGAATCAAACCCGGGACCTCCGCATTCAGCGCCCACAGTGTAAACTGTTAGACTAATGAGGTCGTCAGTATACGTCCTATATGTACATGCCACTGGTGTCTCTAAAAAAGTGATAAGGAAGGCAGAATTAATGTTAATGGTTAACTTTTAACAAAACTATCATATTGTTTGCATGGATATTAAACTGCGGCGATTCTCGTATATCGTGGCTCTAAAAATACCAAAACATTAGCGTTTCACCTCAGCGCTATCAAATAATTAAACACATTCCTATATGTAGTTAAAACCATACTCATAATATTCACGCATGGAATGGGGTTATTACAGTAATCTATAATTGTTCTAACTTTAAACCTAGCGACATATAATCAATATACTTTAAAATAAATATCGACCGAAACATACGGTTTTACTTATTTACGCGTGGAAATGTTTAGTGGAACGCTAAAAATAGGTCAAATTATGACATGAACATTTCATGTCAACCACTGGCCGTATATACCACAAAGTTCAATTTGTAATCTCAGTACAGAGTACTAAAAAAAACCGACCTCAAAAGTACGTGGAAACATATAATTACCAAGTTTTATTGAAATCGGTTACCGGAAAGTGCGCAAACCCGGATTCATCCCCTAGTTCGCCACTATACGGGACTTGACACAGGATATAATAAAAATCGATTCTCACTACTCAAAGTATATTGAAAGAGAAAAACGCCTGGAATTGGAGAATAGCAAAATCAAGTTCATGCGTGAAAAGCCAACCCTAGAGGTGGATGATCTTCTTCAAAATTAAATGGGACAACAAAAAAAGAATCATGAAAATCGGTTCACAAATACTGGAGTTTTCGCGTAACATACATACAAAAAAAAACATACAGTCGAATTGAAAACCTCTCCTTTTTTAAAGTCGTTTAAAAAAGAATTACTTCAACATCTTTTGATTCGAATTTGGAAACAGAATTATTTCAACATCTTTTGATTTCGATTAAACGTTCTGGCATATGTAGCCAGTGTTTCATGTGAACATTGTTATCACAATTCAACCTTTTTTAAGTATTTCTCTAAATATGTCCAAAAGTGTGAGACATACTCAGATAGTGAAAACTAACTATATACGAAACTTGTTTCGTATCAAAAAGGGTAAATTTTAAATACGGAATAACTTTGGGCTCCGTCTATCTCCGGTGATTTTCTTGCTGCTTGCTACCAAAATATTCTTAGCATGCTGGCAAGATTTCTTTCGTGGTCAGTGAACTCCACACCTTACTTTGATACAGCCTTGTAGCACTCCTAAATCCACTTGAACCATTAATTTCAAAGCTGCTAGGATTCATGTTTCTTCATAAAACTAGAAAAGAGCGCCTTATTGAATCCTACAGCATACAGTACTAAAATAGGACCAAATGCTCTAGGTTTTGGCCTGGCAACTCTGTACCTTTATGTCTATCCCCTTCTACATCACCTCAAACTAATCCTATTATATACGAATTCCGAAGTTTTCAGAATTTTCGGAAGTGCTTTTAGAAGCGCCGAAATAAAATCTAGATGTCCTAAACCATAGAAAAAATGTTGCCAAATCCTTAAGAACATTTTACACTGCCACGTATGGGCATTTTAATTTTACGTTCTATATTTAAATTACATACCAGAGAACATAGAACTCGCTCTGTGGTTTCGTCGTTATCAGGTAAAGAAGATGTGTTTATTAAGATCTACCATTATTGCCCACACACTGATAGATGAACAAGAATTATAGCATTAATTCCACAAACCAACAAAAACTAATTTTGCTACTAACAGCTCACGTTAATTGTAAAAGCAAATTCAAAGCTATTCATTAAAACGTGTTCTATGAATCATGAATAGAGCGCGCTGCGTTAGTTTTCCTAGAAATTCGTATTGCAGTCTGAGTCCGTGGGCGTCAAAGGACGTCTCGTCAAAGGTCACCATCAAATGCCAAGTTCAGAGAAGATAGTCGAAAACAATAAGTAGATTGATCGATACAATGTTTCATACAGGAGGAAATCCGCGGCTGCCTCCAGAATGCGGCCAAACACACGGCCCTAGGATTAGGATCGCCTTTGTATTGGACAGCCCGCCGCCGCTGACGACTAGCCTCGTTATTTTCACATTAACCCTCCTTCACACCTCTTTATTCGAGCAGGAAATATAAACAATATTCACGAGTTTCAGATAACGACCGATCGATAACCACGGGCTGAATTAACCAGTGCCACCAACAGAATAGGCTCACGCTGGTTTGCGACCAACAATTGTACCGCTAATGACTTCATTTTGCATGATTATAATATCAAGGCTACACTATGAATATATGTGAAATAGGTACTTACAGAGGCAGATCCTGGTTACATGGGCTCCGCGGTACACAGCACCAGCGTGAGTTCGTTCAACAGATGCACCTTCTCGTGGCCACTCCGTCCTCAATTTGCGTAACATTTATATAACGAAACACATGCCGCGAACAAAACAGTCGGGTCAGAGGCCAGGCGCGCGGGCCTCGGGCCTGCCTCCTGCCATATTGGTTTCGATCAGAGCTCACGGCGCAGGACAACGAGCGGCCGCCGTCGACACGCCTCCGCACGACCAGATGCAATATCGCGATACGAGGACGTTCTCTTCCGAAAAGTAGGATGTCACTCAAGATACGTTCGATGGGAAAATATAAAATCGTGGTTTGGTCGGGCGGAGCGGTGGGCCGGCTGCGATGGGCACATGCCGCTCGATAGTCGGGCGCGTGCGCGAGGCGCGGGATTGTGACGTCACGCCTCGCGCCGCCGCCCTCCGCCATTGCACTGTGATTCCCCCATAGGCCATAAATCAAAAAAAATCATTGGCTTATCCCGGTTAGATCAACTCACTAAGTTAGTAACTAGTTAACAAGCTTCCAAAAACTATAAATATCAATGTAATTAGGTCACGTTATCATTCACTTTTGTGCATCGGAAGTGAGCGCATCGCGAGACTAATTATCACCACGTGTGAGTCATCGAAACTTAATCACTTTGTTTTTGAGTGTCACTATTCCAAATCAAGTGTTTACGTGTTGTGAAAGCATGGAGATCCAAGAGCATGGTATGTACTTTTATTATCAATTTTTTTTTAATTTTTTTTATGCATATTTTTTTTTATATAATTTTTTTATTGAAGGCAGTTTTTTGGTGAAAATTTTTGGCATAACTTAATTTCCTTTAGACCTACAACTTTTGGCTGCGCTGAGCTGCACCTGAGGTATATGGTTTTTGAATAAGGAGTATGTCCTTATTAAGAGCTATAAGTTTCATTTGCATCTTGCTGCCTCTTCTTGGCTTAAAGGGGTGTCAAAGTATGCATGTCCATAGTATTGAATTTTTAATTTTTTTTTAAGTTCAGCTTTCATATTGTTTTAGGTACATTTTTCAAATGTTCTGTATCGAGGATGACAATTTTTGATATTTGGCACTCTAAAGTGGGTAATCCAAATGAAAAAATGCAACACGTCCTGAGCACTTTGACCGAAACATCATCCCTTTCTGACGACATCGAAAATATTGATTTAGAGACTTTAAGCCTTAAAATTAAGAATATTTGTAAACGAATTTCCCACTACTGGGCAAAGTCGAATCGTACTAGATCTAAATTCTTAGAAAAATATTCAGATTGGCTGCATGTCGTTGAAAATATTGATGTACAGCGAACTGAGTTACGTGTATCTCAGAGCTTTGACGAAGTTAAACCATCAACTTCTTCATCGCATGGCCGTCCGAGAATTAACTTTGACGACACCAGTAAACGTACAAAAAGGAGAAGATTGGCTAGTTTGTCTAACCAAGACCCTTCTCTTGTACAGTCATTGCTCAATGCGTCCGATAGCTTGTCTTGTCCTGAAATCGATTCTAGCGAAGTTTTATCGCTCATTGTTGAAGCTCAGTTAACTCGACATCAATATATATTAGTAAAGAAATTTATAGACAATAAGTTTTCAAAAACCATTTTCCCATCTTACCAAAGTGTCGTGGAATCTAAAAAACACTGTTATCCTTCAGATATTACTGTTACAGAATCATCCGCCGAAGTCGAACTTCAAAGTTTATTAGATCATACTGCCAATCGGATTCTCAAGTCTCAAAAAGATGTTTTGGATAGTGTACCTAATGAGTCTCTAGATAAGATATCTTTGATAGAGAAATGGGGTTTCGATGGCAGTACAGGGCATTCAGAATATAAACAGTGTTTTTCTGACTCCACTCTTGAAGACAGTAGCCTGTTTGTTACTTCGTACGTGCCACTTCAGCTTGTTTTGACAACAGATAACAAAGAAAATTCAGTAGTTTTGTGGAAAAATCCTCGTCCTTCATCAACTCGATACTGTCGTCCTATACGCCTCCGATATTTGAAGGAATCGACTGCAGTGTCAGTTGAGGAAGAAGCTCATTTTAAAGATAAAATAAGGAACTTGCAGCCTACTGTTTTCAAGGAAGAAGATCGCGAATATCGCATTACTCATTGTTTGCAACTTACTATGGTAGATGGTAAAGTGTGTAATGCACTTAGTGGTGTTTCTTCATCAAAATGTTTTATTTGTAACGCCTTGCCCAGTGAAATGAACAAAATTGACGAATGTTTAAATAAGGAAGTCGATGAGAGTAAATATGAATTTGGTTTATCACCTCTTCACGCGTTAATACGTTTTTTTGAATATTTTGTTCATGTCGCGTACAAGTTAGATGTTAGGAAATGGCAAGCTAGGTCCGCTAATGACAAAATGCTTGTTGCTGCAAAAAAATCATATGTTCAGACTCAATTTAGAGAAAGATTAGGGCTTATAGTGGATAAGCCTAAAAGTGGCGGAAGCGGAACATCAAACGATGGTAATACAGCCAGGCGGTTTTTCTCGAATTCAGAAATTTCCGCTGAAATTACTGGGATCAAGAAGGATCTCCTAGATCGTTGCTGGATCATCCTTCAATGTTTAAATTCGGGATATAATATTAATAAGACGAACTTCGAAGAGTTCGCTTTAGAGACGGCTCGGCAGTTAGTTGCCGAGTATCCGTGGTATAACATGCCTGCTTCCGTTCACAAAGTTCTAATTCATGGTGCTAATGTTATAGATTACGGTTTGTTGTCAATCGGAGAGTTGTCTGAAGAAGCAGCTGAAGCGACTAACAAATACATCAAGTCTTTTAGAAAAAATCATACGCGTAAAATGAGTCGCATTGTGACCAACACAGATTTAGTAAATAGGCTGCTTCTTCATTCAGATCCCTTCATAACAGGTCTACGAAAGTTACCTGTTAAAAAAAAAGGTGTACTGTCAAAAGCTGTATTAGACTTGTTATGTATTTAAAGTTAATATTGTTGAGATTTAATGTATTTTGGTATAATTTGTGTTTTGTTTGTATTTTGTAAAATGAACTTTTTTATGTATTTTTATTGTTTTAATTTATTCATTTGTGGTTATTGTTAATACAAATAATCATTATTTACACAGTTTTACCATTAAAAGTCGCAGTATAAAATGTTTTAGATACATCGTCTAAAAACAAAATTACTGCGAGACATTTTTACACCTAAATATTGTCAAATATTTTTTAAAATGTATAATTTTATTAATTTACGTTTACCTAATCATATTTTAACGTAATAAAATAAAAAAATAATAATAATTTCGGAGTTACGTATTTATGACCGCCTTAGTATGGAGCGTGAATCACCGTGCATTGCCTCCTCAATGGAGCGCCTAGTGCCACACACGGCCGCCGTCAGCCCAGACACCCCAATCATTTGACTATCACTGTCACCCGGACATACCATGGCTGATTAATAGCGCTCTAATGGGCGATTGAGTGGCTAATAAACCTGTCCATCTAGCCTATCCAGCTCAATCAATATCGAGCCCTGTTCAAGAGTCTATTATTCATCTTCTTTTATAAAATTGTGATAGACAATGAATAATGAGATTTTACTTGATTTTTTAATTTACTTTAAACTGAAAAACGTTGCACAGTACAACCATCACATCATCTTTTGTATATCGTTAATGCTGGTAAATTAAAACTATATTACCTACAGAAAAAACAGATAGCAAAACCCATTCGTATGAGTTTGAGTTTCTTATAAACTACTTTACTTACGTTTTCTTCGATATTAGAAAGTTTTCTATTTTCTTTGATAACGTTGTCCTCATAGGTACCATCCATAAAAATTTCACTAGCTCCATCTTCCTTAACAACACCATTTTTATTCATATTATCACAAACATCATTATTTTCGTTATTTTTTTCACCACTAACATGGAAATCATCACATTTATTCTCATCATTAGATTCAATATCACAGTTTTCATTATTAGTAACTTCATTATCGCCTTCGTCACTTTTAACGTTGCTTATTGTACCGTCAGTTTGCACGTCGACAGATCTTTGCCTTATATTAGGAGTCCATTGGCTAGGTATAGTCTCTATATCAGAAGTGTTACTATCTCCCATTTTTTTGCAAAACATATTAGTAGTAATATAATCCATTACTGGTACACACGTGATTCTACAATTTGTTAATTTCATAGCGTATTCTGGTAGGCGTCGGAGAATTTAAATCTTTAAAGTAAACTCACGTAAACATAATGTTACTTCACAGCCTGACAGACCTAAGACTGAAGTCGGTAGGGGCCGGAAGAAAGATATATAGGATTTATAGAGTTATCCTTGAGTGGAGAACATGCAAACGTAATGTTGGACTTCCGTAGGCAAATGGAGAACCACCCGAGAAAGGTGGATTTGGACGGAGACGAATGGTCATACGTTGGGTGAATAATTTGGGGTTATATGGTCTATATTACAAATGGAAATAATATTTAACGATGTGATTAATTTTAAAACATGAAAAAATTTCCATATTGAAAAAAAAATCAGCAAAAAATAATTTTTACATTAAAATATCAGAAAAATGCCACAGTATTTTTAGATAACAAATTTGAAAATTTTTTTAGACAATTAAACAACAGTAGGTGCAAACAATAAAATGATATCTAACCGAATGACGGCAGAATAATTGATAGAAAAGTAAATGACTATCTGATGTTGCTATCTGTTAAGTTGTAGAATCCAATTGATAAGGTTTAATATAGTTTTTATTTATTTATATTGTGCCGTATTTACTTATATTAAATATATTTATTACATACCTTATATACTTATATTATATACCTTTATATTATATAGATTTTGTTTGCGAATTCGTCCACAAGAAACTGAACTACAAAAAAACTGTTTCCTATTGTATTTTACGTAATTATGTTTAATATATAATTAGGTTTGACCTACCGACATTTTTTTTGGTATCCGACTCTCCTAACGTTAAGACCTTATATGCATCCAAAAGCAACAATTATAGCGCACCTTCAGAGATTTCACACGCACACACTCATTATTGAACCAGTCCCAGTCACAACACACTCAACACTTACTTGACATACTGCTCGTTACTAACGTAACATAGTAAGTCTTCTCTAAATTGTACTACTTAACTCTTTGAACATCTTTGTCATATTTTATTCTTTTCTGGGACCCAAATGTTCTGGTTTTGGGACTACAGAGTTCCTTTTAGTTTACTCGTAAGCCAAATGGCTTCAACAAATGTTGATAAAATATTCGACCGCCGTGGCGCCACAGTACTATCTGGTAACACAGGTTAAATCCTTTTGTGGGGTCTGGATGTTGTCTGACTGGTCAGAAATCAATCAATAAGTAATAATTACTGTATTATTTCTATAGTATTTGTAATGGCTATCAATAAAGTTATTATTCGAATCTGGGCTCGCACGTCTTTAATTTCTCGGAATTTATGAGCGAAACTTACCTTGAAATTTACCTTAAGCTTTTCGGTGAAGGAATAAATACATCGTAATTAAACCTGCATGTCGAAGAAAGTTCACAGTCCTCGGAAAACGAGTGAAGCCCCCATATCGCATTGGGCCAGTGTGACGGACTAAGGCCTAAACACTCGCCTGTGAGGAGACCAGTGTCCAGCAGTGGGATGTGTAAATGGGTTGATGATTACGATCTTTAATATAGGATTAAATTCTTCAGCCGACTGGCGATCAATCAACAACTCCTGGGGATGCCTTGTTAAGGTTCGCCTTTACAAGGCATCCCCAGGAGTTATACCACCACCAAAAATAACGTATTTCGATACGTATGGGGTTTATTTTTGGTGGTGGTTATTAAAAAACTGTTGCAAAGTAACGCCTAAATCTATTCATTAATTATGTTTTAATAAAAATACACAAATGTATATAAAATATAAAGTTTTTATTTGACTATTTACAATAATATATGTTTTACAAAAATATGTATAGGTATATAACAATTTTGGGTATGGTTACATCCATTTCCAGAAATATATAATATTTTACAAAATCCATAACATTTGATATAAAAATCACAATCGTCAAAAATTTTAACAATGACATAATAGAACCATTTTTTTATTTATTTCAATAACAACAATTATATTATTTTCGAACTTTGATAGAATTTCCATGCAACATCCAATTATGTTTTATTGAAGCAAGCTCTGACTTGTAAGACTGTATATATTTCAAAAATTACAAACTGAACAGATTCAATTAAATTTATCGTAAAAATTATAAAAAAATTAAGTATACAACAGATAGAATAATAAGCGTAGAATGTTATCTACTTAGGTATAACGAGTAATATCATTTAAAAAAATAGACACAAATATTTGAATATGGTAACAAATGACAAATTATACAATAGAAAACCACTACCTTAAGTTATTTTTTTTTTAATTCAATGTTGTTTACACATAGACGACTCGACTCGACACAATATCAATAGTGTAAACGTTTTTGCAGATTTTTGCTGATGATGTTATTGCGGAAAAAGGTAAACTGTAATTGGTATACCAGATTCGCCATAAAAAGATTTTTTATTCAAATCAGCGCTATCTGTCATTTTTATGCCGTACTACTAAAACATTTAAGTTGAGTGCCATGTTATTACGTTTTCGTATATTACAAAAAATATTTCTTTACGTCAATGAGGTAAAAAAATCCCTGTCGCAACATTTAAATCTGATCAAAATAGATATACATAACAAAAATGTTCCAAATTATTTTTCCTGAAAATAGTTGCTATAACTCGACAACTAACGTTTGTTATAAGTTACTGCCACTATATTCAGGCCTATAATTCCTAGACACTCCATCTAAATTTGAAGATTGTAAATATAGATTAACGGATCTAAATATATTGGAATCATATGGCAAGAGGCTTTCAACCCGTTGTGCACTTTAAAGTTCTTAACGTATCGGGATCTAATTATAAATATATGACGGCTGGAAATTTCTTTATTAATACTAACACACGTGCTTCTGTAATTGGTAATGGTTGGCTAAGCTGCTGGAAAAAACGAAATGATCGTATAACTAAATCCTGGCAACATTAGAGAGTGGATAAGCGAGAGCAAATGATCTCCCGCCTCGTAAGAGACAAAATTGCAGAAGTCTTTGCAAACTTTCCCTAGTTGGAAAGGCGACTTCTAGAAGTCACTCAATAGTTCTCTATCGAAAATTTGCTCACCTACGACGTTATCATAGTGTTTAAGCACATAGAAATGACAATTTGAATTCTAGCGTAACAATGAATAAAAAACGAAAAGTACATCTGTAAAACTTTAAAATATCAGGTCCCGTTCCAATAAAACTGTACAACAATCAATCGATATCCAAGCTCTTGAAACTGCTAGTAAAGCTGGCAAACATTCCTTTACTCGGTTTTTTGATCCGCTTCTTCTCATCTACCTTAAAGTTTTCAGACTCTATTAGCCATTCTCTATAGTTTTCTTCCATGTTCTTCCTTTGTTCCTCGTGCAGTTGTTTTACTGGAGGTTGGGGGCCGCCGTAGTCTTCAGGAAGAAGTTCCTTTTCAACGACGGCTTCAGGGCCTTCGGAAGAGAAATTGAGGAGATTCAGCAGATTTGAGTGGATGAGCGGCTTGATCAGACACATGACTTGGTTGATGAACGAAACCGTGTGCACCACGTGGATCTTTTTAAGACGGCACGGGTGGGCGTTCTGTAACAATAATTTAATAAAATTATACAAATTATAATATAATAATTTTCGTCGTTTCGTTCCTTTCGTTCCTTCGATTGTGCAAGTACTTAAATTTTAACTAATTTTCAGGAGGCGGTAGAGCGTTTGAGTAGCGTCATATTTGATATTTTATATTGTTTTTAAATAGGTAGTACTTTTTAGCCAAATATTTTGCTTTATTTTATTTATTTGGCTTTGTACCTGTTATGACACATTTTGAGATATTTTTATTTTAATTTCGCAATATAGTGACATTATTCTGTTCAGGACCACAGATACACATTTAGGGAGACTACAGAAATACGATGTTCTTTTTTTGAAACTACAATATCTTAGACTTTTTTTTTTCCATCCTCTAAGCTCAATATAGATCAGTGAAATTCTTCAGTTCAGTAGCAAGTACCATAGACAATAGAATTTTGGTTCAGAGCTAAAAAGAGCGTATTTATGATATGGTTTACGAAATTATAATTGACAGATTGAAATGCGTAGAAAGAAGTAAAGGCGTAGGAAAAATATATTACTTCTTTTCTAATATTTTTCGATAGAAAAACGACAGTGTTCCTTAAATAAATCTTGATTCCTTTTAAATTCTAAACTACTTCATTGTCTTTCCGGATATAAATCGCGTATATTTATTTTTTTCCATGATAGTAAGCATGTACAACACAAGCACGTGTTGTGTAAAGGGTGTCCTCGTAAAATTCAATACATTGTACAATAGTTACATTGCTAGTGGTTAATTTGATTAATTTGTGCTAATTTTAATCGTCACTGACACGGATTTTAAACAAAAGATTTTCGAAAGCACCCTTGATGTAATAAGGTCACATCTGCAAAATGACAACTTTTCAGGAGAGAAATTTGAAGATTCTACGAACAATTCTTCTAGTAATTACTTGCGCGCTTGTTAATTATTATCATTTCAGGTTGATTGTATGTATTTTAACTCTTGTTAATTTATTTCGGATTACATTTTCAATCTCCTATTTCTATCGATTTATATTTCTAACTAATGCGTTTTTGGCTAAGAAACTTTTAATAAGTAATTGTATGGGAATTCACAACATTGTAATTAGGTCACATTTACAAAATTACAACTTAGAAGAGAGGTTTACAAATTCTAAGAACGAAATTAGTCTGCAACTTTTTGTACTTTTATGGGAGAATTATAAAATTTCTCATTTTTACACGCCTGTCCATAACAGTTGCAGTGTCACTCAGAGGTTTAAATCGCAAAGATCTGAGGGATCAGATCTTTGTTATTATTGTATATTATTATTATATTATATATAATATAACCAAATAATTTCATTTTTTTTAAATTACACCTATTAAAGTCTACACAATTCTCAAATTTAAAAAATCTGGGCTTTCAACTACAATTTTAACCAAAATATTTGACATTGAAGTAGTAGTATGTATTTGCCAGCCAATTTGAGACTCCAGGTGAATCATGGCTGTCAACAGTTAAGCTATAATCAAATAAATCTATCTTATCTAATCCATCTCTGTTTCTTGGGTCTCATTATACTCACCTGAATATAAACCATGAAAGCTCTAAGCGCAGGCAGGGTAACTCGCGTCAAATGACCGAGACTACATCCTTTCATATCGAAGATAACAATGTATCCTTCCGACAGGCCGTCTTCCGACAACTTGATGTCGTTAAACATGCAGAATACTCTCACCGCGTCAGCGAAATTGAGTTTGCTATAGTCGAACTCCGCCAGGCGGTAGAGAAGAACATGGTGCCCTTCTTCTGTTTGCTTCGGAAGGGCCACCATATGCCTGGAAAGAAAGTTATAGTAGACTTAATAATACAAACAACAAACCAACAATAATACAGACATCCTACATCCAGCACATATCTCCAAACTATGGACCAAATGACTCCAGAGGACTTCTAATCTCCATACTACAGACCGTGACTCAGAAAAAGTTCAATATTCCGTCTTAGAACTAGATGGCGCTGATCAACAGCCTGGAGGTAGATTATAAGTCAAAGTTAAAATCAAATGATTTATTCACCCAGACAACACAGTACATTGCCTATAGGTTAGTCAAATTACAGAAAATACAGACTTAAATTATACAGGTATAACATACTAGTAAAGTCTTAACATTATGATTTTTTAAGAAAATCTATATTCACTTAGATTTGAATCTATAAATTCGTTGATTTTATAAAAAGCGTAATTTTTAAAGTAAAGTTTTAATGTTTGCTCGATTGAAACCATTTCCAAGTCAGCTACACTAACTGGTAGTTTATTGTACGTATTAATTTTCATATTTACGCCCTGTTTTAACGGTTTTATTAATCTGGTTTTGTTGTTACTAGTTTATGTTTACTTCTCGTGTTATATGTATGTATGTCTGATATCTTCGCCATATATTATGTAAATGGCCGTAGCTATCAATTCATTCATCTTTAATATGAATTACTTAAGTCAATTTGTTTCCTTGTAATATTTTTCAAATGTTGATTATGAGCTAATATTATTTATAAGTTTTGACACATATGCGTGTATTAACGCCTCGTAATGGTAGATGGCGCTAATCCATAAAAAAATCTGTGCAATGAGCGCCATCTAGCTGATTCGTTTGTTATCACTAGAGATTAGAGTAAATTTGATAAATTGTAACTTGTCAATTAAACAAATTATAGTACCGGCACGCTATGATGGCCGTTTAGACATTTGTCCGCTCATCACATTTCGCATTAATTCATAACTACGTTGAAGGAGCTAATTGATGTACATTGTTGTCAACAGTGATGTGCAATAAAATTTATGGATGTATTATTTTACGACACTCGGCATTTGTTTATCGAATTTCGAAATATTTAAAAATGGAATTCTAATACGATCGTCACGGTTTCCTATCAGTAGTCCGAAATTACATTTTCCAGAAATAACGTTAACTCGAATTTTCATAACCTCGAAAGTAATTTGGAGAGGAAAATGTTTTTTTTTTCAAACCTAACTAAACCTTTTTTTTAACGGGAGAAATGCTTTATGTGGGACTCACCCTCCGATAGAGGCATACCCACCAAAAACCCCCCGGTGCACCCTCTTGGCCGGGTGTTGTGGGCACCGCGAGATCCCGAAGATTCGACCACAACGATGCCCCAAACCTAACTTAACCTAACCTAACAGAACCTAATCGTGTCACTGCGATAAACATATCCTGAAAGAACAACGGTTTCGTTATAATTCAGTTTTCGGTGTCATGAAAATTCTAACAAACGTTATTTTTGAAAAAAAAATTCGAGTTTGTGATAGGTTACCCGTCGCGACATCGGGTGTACCAATAGGTACTAAATATCCGAGTACGCTATCTTGTACCACGATTAGCAGTCCCCTTTGAATTATTGGACCATGATCCAAACTATAATATAATAAATGCGAAAGTAACTGTCGTTACGTTTTCACATCCAAAGTGCTGAACCAATATTGATGAATTTTGGTACAGAGATAGATGGGACCTAGGAGAACGACATAGGCTTGTGTCTGGTGGTGACTTTTTGTCAGAAACATAAATCTTAAAGAGGCTGAAATCGAGGATGAAAGTTTGTATGGACAAGCAAAAAAACTATGAAAATGAGTACGGGTGCCAGCTGTACAGAAGATTTTTTTTTATATAATATTAAGTGATGAGACGAACAACGTTGTGCGCCTGATGGTAAGTTACACGCCTGTCCATAACAATTGCAGTGCCACGGCCACTGCGCCCCTCGCCCTTTGACATAAATTGATGAGTCCCATGTGCCTGTAATTTCACCAGCACCTTTACCCTTCAAAACCGGAACACAGTAATGCACACATTACTGCTTGGTAGCAGAAGTAGGTAGCAGTACTACACTGGATGAAATCTTTCACAAGAAGCTCTACTGTTACTAAATATATACATATATTTATGTACTGTATACAGGTACCCGGCTGAATAGGTACCAGGCCAGGCAGACATCTGTCCGAAATAATTTTTGTATTGTATTTGTTATAATGTCAAATAAGCATAGCCGTCCGAATTAAAAGACACATGATGCGAATGAAACTTCACATTTCACACTGCCTTCTAATTTAGTAGAGTATTACTTATTTGACAGTAATTGTTTCGGACGGATGTCAGCAGCGATGCAAACGAGATGCAAGCGCGCGACTGCATCGATATAAACGCGCGATTGCATCGCTTCACTTTGCATTTATAGGCGATTGCATCGATGCAAACGCGCAACTGCATCGATATAAACGCGCAAATCGCAAGTGTAGAGATGCATCGCACATTTCACGAACGCGCCGTGTGTAACCACTCGAACACGTGCACTCCACCTGTAATAAATTTCAACGCGATATCTCAAATATTATGTGGTTTCATTAAATACAAAATTATTATATCCTTATTGAAAAACCCGATATCTGTCCTGTTATATTTATAACGTAAACCCGCCGAGCAACTTCACCTTTGTATAATTCCACATTTATACCATGACCTAACACTCTTTATAATAATTACTTTGAAATTGTCCATCAGGTTATCAAAGCATATGTAATTCTTTACCTATTACGCTATATGAGTTAATTGATGTTTTCGAATCACTAACGCGTCGTTTCAAATTACATCGCATGTTGTGATTGTACACCTTGCCATTTATATGTATATATAGACTATAATACTCGTTACAATAAGCAATCGTTGATGCATTGTCAACTATAATTGATTAGTAGTTGCGCTGTTGTTTAAGTAACAATGAAATGTATTTTTAACTGGAACATTATTAGGAAATCCGAAACCATACAAGATACAGGGAAACTGTCATATGAACCATTAAGTCTGTTTTTTGTGAAAAAAATTTCGGCATAATCATTTTTTGGTCAAGGGCGAGGTGTCCATAAAAAAATAATAAAATTGATTAATATATTTTTAGTGCTGATCTTTAGTGTAAGGATCATTTCGTTGTGTGAAAAGAAAAAAATCAGAAGTTGGTAAAATTGAATAAAATGTTACAAAACAAATAAAGTTTGCAAATTGATAGACTTAGTTAAAGACTGAGTAAAGTACATCCTATCGTGTAACGAATGAGCACATTCTTTAGACAATAGCCTTAGGTGTATAGTATATTTTTTATATGACCGTTATATAATAGAAAATATCTAAATCATTTGTTCAGCAAATCAGTTTTTCCCGCTTCTTCTCCAGTGCTCGCCTGAGTTCGAGTACATTTAGATTTCTAATTATCACTTGCACTAGCGGTTATAGAAAATAATAGACAATCGCCTAAACTCACCAATCACAATAGAGTTGATATAGCAAACTTACGTGATATCCAAAATAGCTTTATTCCTAGGTATCAAAGGGTCCCTATTCGCGAAGAGATCCGGCGTGTTCCCTCGCAGCGTGAAATAGCTCTCAATTGTTTCTTTGGTCTCTTTCACCTTGAAATAGTTGGAGTGCAGGAACAATATCACGTACTCGTCTGATATGTATGGCAGGTGCGGCTGACTTTTCATCCTGTAATAAATAAAAATAGGTGTAGTTACTATATGTATACATAGATCGAAAAATTAACAAATGTTTATCGTGTTTTTATGTTTTGGCGATTGTTATATAAATGGCCATCGACACTCGGCACCCTATGCATGATTACTTCACAGTGCAACAGAGACTGAGGAGCCGGAAAAGTTTTGTCAAATGTGTCGATCCTCTGAGCATTGAGCCGGCTCAGGCTAGATGCAACCTTTGGCGCGAAAGAGTACATCTACGTTTGTCCCGCCTTCTGAGAGTCTTCCTCCTGGACATGAATTGCCATGGCCGATCTGGGCGCCTTTGAATAGGCTTCGAACTCAGGTTGGTCGGAGCAAGGACAATTTGTTTAGGTGGGGATTTTCGGATGATTCCAGCCTAGACTGCTTGTGCGGTGCGTCTCAAATGATGGCCCACCTCATATCGTGCCCTGCGTGCCCCAACACCTGCACGCTTGAGGATTTAATGGCAGCTACTAGTGACGAGGGCGGCGTGGCTGAAATCTGGGCCACAATAGTATAATGTATATCATCGATACGATAAGAAGACGGCGATTGATAAACATAAGAAACGAAGCTACTTTTTCGGTTCTAAATCGGGTATATTTGTTTTTACAACCAAACTGAAAAGCGACACACACACTGCTGGCACCGGTTAAACATGTCTTGTAGATTGTAATGTAGCCTGGAGAGTCCTGTTGCCTTTGTGGAGGTTTGTCATTTCTAGACGTATCAGAGCTTCGACATTATTTAACTTTTCCAGAAAATGTGTGTAATGTGTGTGTATAAACGATGTATAAACACGTTACATCGTTAAACGTATATAAGAAACTATTGTATTTGTAATTTAGTATGATAAGAGAGAGCACGTGCGCTTGCTTCGGGAGTGTGATAGAGAGTGACGACGGATCGAAACACAATGAGAATGACGAGGCGAGAGAATTAAAGAACGATTCAAAATTTGAAAATAAGTGGCCAGGTATCAGAAAAATAAGGTAAAAAGGTGGGATGACGATGGAGGAGGTCGCATTGTCACTAAGCCAATGTTTTGGGCCCTTTTCAAGTCTCATTAGTCAGTCATCCAGAATCAGTAAGCCGTAACCATTGTTGCCTGAGATTTTTTTTTATAATACGAAGTGACGGGACGAAGAAGTCGTGCGCCTGGTGATGATAAGCAACACGTATCTAATGTAAAAATGTAAACGTCCATAACTGTTGCCATATCACTCAGAGCTTTAAATCACAATTATCTGAGGGACACTGCCATTGTGTTCATTATCCTGATTATCCTGAGGCATAAGTTGACAAATCCCATGTACCTGTCATTTGTAATTTGTTAGTTAACAAATCTGACGCCAGGGAAAAGAGCAAAAGAGGAGACCATCCTTTGCTGCCAGCATTAAACAGGAGAAAGCCAAAATGATTACATTCAGCAAGTTACACAATCCCAAATCATAATTCTAGTTAGTAGTCGAATAACTGCATTACAAAGCACTGTTTGCGCTCCAATAGTTGTTATACGAAAACGCACATTTCATGTTGCATGCTTTTACGACATACATACTTTCATGTACTTGTATTTAGGTAACCGACACGTTTCCTGTGTAGGCGCTGAAATTCTTATTATTTCAGTACCAATTCAATCACATTTCAAAGGTGATAAGGTTCTTTGGCTGTAGAATATTCGACCGCCTTACCTAATTCCACCGTAAAGCACTATGGCCAGTGCAAGTTTAGTAGCACTAGAGCTCTTTGTAAGAGTTCGTCCAGAGAAGTACTGCCACCTTACCTATTTCTGCCGCCAAACAGTACTGTGAGCCGGTTTAGAAAGATAAGGGTGTTGGTGAAATTACAGGTACATGGGACTTATCAATTTATGTGACAGGGTAATGGCGCAGTGGCAGTGCCCCTCAGTGCCGCAATCAAAGCTCTGAGTGACACTACAACTGTTATGGATAGGCGTGTATGAAACTAGGAAATCCTGTAGTATGAAAGTAAAATTAAATCTAAAGACTGGATCCAGAAGTCTCGACCAGAAACAACATATAAAAGTTCACTTAATAAATTATAATCGTGGATTTTGTACGTAAAACCTATATGTAATAAAACTCAAAATTAGATAATTGTTTTCCACCACGAATCTTTAAAAGGACAACTCTCCGGAATAAAAAAGGTTTGCCTTAATCACCATATAGCAAGCAACTAAACAATCACAGAAAAGCTGTGTCAAAAAATCATATACGAAAGTTGTATTTTTTATCCTACGCAGAGCATGCGTGTAGGTGAAGAAAACAACTGAGCATATCGTACTACAATATTTCGAGGTCAATCCCCGAAATCTTCACCAGCCCCAGGATGAGATTCCTAGAGGAGTTAAGCCGGAGGAGTTGTGGACCGCAGATGTAAGCCACACCTTTATGATTATTACGGAAAATAGGAGCTACGAGACGTAGAGTTGCGGAAAGCAACCCACTCTGCCAAACCATAAACATTATTATTTTACCAAACCTACGGGTTGCACTACGAGAGTGGTCCTATAACTATAAAAACTGTTAAAATTTGTGAACGTAGAAAAATTGTCGGCGTTTCATAGAAAGAGCGTAAGCACCATTTCGAAAAAAATTACGTCCTGTTTACATTCAATTTTGATTTCAATTAAAATTGATTTTAAAACAGGACGTTAATATTTTAAAATATTAGTGAAAACCTAAAGCATACTCCCCTGAAAATTCCAGAAATTTTGGAAATGGCGCTTGCGGCGCTTGCGCCATTACAAAGCACCGCATTTGTTTATAATATTTACAAATGTCTGACTGCTATACAAAAGACATCACTGGCAGCGTCATTTTTTTTATTTTTCAACAAAATTACCACTAACCCCCGACATAAAAAGAGGGTAGTTATAAATTTGAAACTTTTGTTTGTATAATATATCTATGTCATCATAGTAAAAGCCGGTTTGATCGAGATGGTTCTTAGCTATGTTTGAAATAGCTGAACCGATCAGCTATTTCTTCATCATCAACCTATTTATACGCCCCACTGCTGGGCACGGGTCTCCTCTCAGGCGAGGATTTAGAGTAGTTTAGACCATAGTCCGCCACACTGGCCCAATACGGGTTGGTAGCTTCATACGTTTTCCGAGAGTTGTGAACCTTCTTCGACGTGCGGTTTCATCACGTTGTTTTCCTTCACTGCAAAGCTCTTAGTAAACGTCAAGTTAAATTTCGCATATAAATTCCTAGAAACTCAGATTTGCGAGCCCAGAGAACCCACAATCTCTGCTTAAGAAGCGATATGTGAAACTATTAGGCTACCACGGCTTCACGGCTTTTCAAAGAAGATCAACTCTTTTCTCAATTAGTGCAGGGATCTCATAAAATAAATATTTATTCTGCTTTCATTTGTCCAATCGACTTGAAATTTGATACCTTATGGCTGCAGAGCCTTGTGCACCGCCGTAGAGTTGACTGCTTATCGGTATTCTACAAGATACATATATCACTGAGAGTGTGCGATGGAATTGCATAATTTGATTCCGCCTTCCCCTTTTCATGATCTAGGGGGACTAGACGTGATCTGGCGTTCCACCCCTGTGTTGTGGATATTCCCAAGATTATTTGATTATTCACATTTATATGGCGAGCGGCTAGGCAGTGGAATTCCCTGCCTGCGGACTTCTTCCCCGAACGCTATAACTTGAACCTTTCCAAGGCGAGAGTGAATAGGTATTATTTAGGTGTGCATGCTACATCGTCGACGTCATCGTCACTTTCCATCAGGTGAGAAGGAGGTCAAATGCGCACTTATTTAAAAAAAAACTAATATTACAAAAACACGGTAACCTCGATTTGATGATCTGGTGAACCAGAGCACTCTGCAGACTATCCAACTCCTGAACTACCAGCAGTAGAGCATCCCTTATTTGGGTGCATTAACTAACTTTCGACTAGTTGTTTATTGACTTTTTAGAGGACGTTGTTATGTATGGAGATTTATTTAAATTTAAATGTTTTTTGCAAATTAAGTGCCTTAACACTGAATCATAATGAATTTATATGAAGTCCAACACAAACTCCTCGCCGAGGATCTTTCAGTACGCCTCGTAAAGTTTTGACTCTCTTTGTACCTTGTGCAGTACCGACAATTTTATTTGTAAAGATAAATGTGTCTAAAAACTATCTAGAAAAATATTAATATCTCTATAAAATGTAATACTATTGTTATTGAATTTGTTATTTTATTTTTGTTATTTGTGTTGTAAACTGCCTCAGTGGCTGGACGGTTACCGTGCCGGACTGCCACGTAGAGGTCCCAGGTTCGATTCTCGGGTTGGGAGAAATATTTGTATGGACTACATTTATTTCTCTCGTGAGTTTAGATGTAATTTGTGGTTGTCTATGTATGTGTCCATGGCACCCGCGACACAGGGTTTCCCTAGTGCGGGGCTATGTTGAGTGTGTGTGTGCGTTTATTTTAAATAAATAAATAATAACGCACACACTCAACATTTTACAACATATTAATTTGCTTGTCTTTAATTTATACGCCTTAGAGAGGTTACACAACGCGACTTTAAGCCGCGATGCAAACGTGATACAAACGCGCAACTGCATCGATACAAACGCGCGATTGCATCGATGCAATCGCCTATAAATCGCAAGTGTAACAATGCAATGGCGCGTTTCACGAAGACGCGTTTGCACCGCTGCAAAAACTCGCCGTGTGTAGCCACACTTAGCTACGCCCTTACAGAGCACATGCTATGTAATTTTATTGCATGTTCGCTAATAAATGAATACTGAATACTGAGAATTGTTTAGCTCGTGGACATTTCTATTTGTCCAAAATATGATGTCATCTTTTAGCTAAACTGTATATGAATGGAAAGCTTTTTAATAATTTTACGTTTATTACTTTATCACATCCCAAATGCTTTTAATGGCTTTGTAGTTTGACATTATCATGATGAAATACGGCACGTATTTACGATTCACCAATTCTGGGTGTGTTGTATGAATTATAAACTTAAAACTTTCCTGCCTATTCTAAAAATGCGCGATAAAATATTATTTTTTAAAGTGTCCGTGATAATACAAAGCATTAAAATAAAAATGTTCTTTTTTTGTTTAAAGTTAACTTGTGACAAAAACCGTACGTATTTTTTGACTCGTTACTGTACATTTAATAATTAATAAACAACAATATATAATAATAAGATTTTATAATTATTATTTTTATTGAAAGTTGAAATCGGTTACCGGTAAATGAAGGTTTGGAACAAGTTTAGAGCTTTGCTTATGTTACATAATATCGATATTTTAAAATGAGAAACTGCATAAGTGTACGCCTTAAGCGTGAAATTTGGTCCATTAATTATTAATGAGTTAATAATAACGCACACACTCAACATAGTCCCGCACTAGGAAAACCCTGAGTCGCGGGTGCCATGGACACACACATAGACAACCACAAGTTACACCCAAACTCACGAAAGAAATAAGTGTAGGCTATACAAATATTTCTCCCGGCCCGGGAATCGAACCTGGGACCTTTGCGTGACAGTCTGGCATGATAACCGTTCGGCCACGGAGGCAGTTATATATTTTATGCATCCAAATCAAAAACTTCTCAACATTTACACAAAAAACTAAGTGTTAATTTGTTTGTACTGTCCTTTTTTTGTAAGTTTATATTATTTATATCACTGAAAAATTAGACTCATAATCTATAAAAACGAAGACATGCAGAATTATTTCAACACCATTGATTGCTTGAACAAACTCTACTCCGCCAAATAGAGTACCTCTTTCTTATCACCTTGTTCAATTTACATTAATGAAGCAGTTTCTACTAATAAGTTTAAATATTACATATATTAAAAATAATTAAATTTGAATAATCTTATAAATTACAGGTTTTTTTATGTTACCAAGTGACGGAACGAACAAATCGTGCGTCTGATCGTTAGCGACATGCCTGTCCATAACAGTTGCAGTGCCACACAAAGCTTTAAATCACAAAGATCTTAGGGGCACTGCTACTACCCATGTGCCTGTAATTTCATCAGCACCCTTAGCCTTCAAAATCGAAATACAGTAATGCTCTCATTGCTGCTTGGCGGCAGAAATAGGTTAGGCAAGAAGTGTGTACGAACTCTATCACAGCTCTACCGCTCTAGCACAGGAGCTCTACCGCAAAGGTTAGTTACAACACAAATATTGTAATTTAAAATATATATAATATAGTATATGCACGTGTACACTACGTTACACTAAACACAACTACATAATTATTTAGTATAATTAAATAAAAACAATGAGGGAAAGATGAGAATCTATACCAGTTACCTGTAATTTAGTACTCTTGTTTACATGTTTGTTGTCGTTATAGATAAATTATAATTGTTTCTTCGTATTCTACATCATATGAACAGTACGTACCATTCTCTAATCTGCTGCATTTCGTCGTCATGTCCTTCGGGCAGCGGCTTCAAGCCACGCATGAACGGGTGTGAGTACTTAGTCGCCGCCATGCCACCCTACACTAGCGCTGCGCCCTGTAAATGAATACATACTTTATTATTGCATACAACAACAGCAATATTCAATATAAGTATAACCCGAAGAGCGGTTACACAAGGCTTTAAGCAGCGATGCAAAGTCGATACAAACGCTATGCAAACGCAATACAAACGCGATGAACGTTTTAAATTAATTAGCTAATTTATTTATTTAAGACATTTATTAATTTCCAATTAACAACAAAACAAAAACAACAACAAAATAACAAAACAAAACAATGTGCAATAAACCTATATACATATTTTTCGTACATAATAATTCAACATACCTACGCAATAAATGATGCAGTCGCGCGTTGGCATTGATGCAATCGCGCGTTTGTATCGATGCAGTCGTGCGTTTGTATCGACGCAGTCGCGCGTTTGCGTCGATGCAATCGCCTATACGTCGCAAGTCTAGCGATGCAATCGCGCGTTTCACAAACGCGTTTTGTATCGCTGCTCAAAGTCGCCGAGTGTAACCACTCTTAGAAGTCTACGAGATTATTATTTACACCGTAAAGTTGTTTCCACGCGTAAAATGCAATCACGAAAGAGTTACAAGGGTCTGTAACCTATACACGCTTACTCCAAAACCATTGGAGAGAAATTAAAAATATGAATAATTCTAATCCATAATACATATGTATATAATTTCCCGAGCCAAAGTTTGGTCTCCATAATAAAACTCATTCGTACTGATTTCCAGAATCACTAACCGAAAACCTCGTATTTGCGATCTCATTATATAGAGCTAATGATAAGTTTTCATTACTAATCAATATTATTGGTAGTAATAGAGAAAGTATTAATGAAAAATAAATAAAACGATTTTGTCGATTCGACCTGAGCTACATTTTTGGAGGGAAAAGAAAAAAGATGGCGGATTATTTGATTGACCAACAAAGCTTAATAATCGTAAAATTGTACTTTTCATTGAACCACTCTCATATCTTATATTAATTTACAGTACCTAGTAACCTTTTTTGACTGCATTACACAGTCGTACGTTCATGTTTAAAAAAATATCAAGTTTAAATAAAACGGGAGCGGTACCACAAGGAAGAGTTTTACACTAGTTGGAAGCAGGGTTTAGAAATACGCACATATATATACTCCTTTGTTGTTGTTCCAATTTGGGGGACCAGCAAAGTTATTACGCATCCAGAATGATAAAAATTGGATAAGCTAATTAATAATGTGCATACAGGGTTATTTGTAAAATTGTAACAACCTCACAGGACTGTATTACTAACATACTTCTGTTCCATGATTTTTAATAATTGGTCAGATTTTACTTTCATACAAAAATAAAAATATCTAAACAGATCGCTATAAACGGTGATAACTCTGTGCAAAACGCGGAAATCGTCGTAAGACGCTTGCACGTGTGAACGTACTACCTTACTACTAAACAAAAGTGTCATATACAAAACAAATAAAAAGAAGTTGCTTTGTATAACTGTAGAATAATTCGCACAGAATCTTATTTTTGAGGAATAAATGGTACATTTAATTGATGCATTTACTGGCATTAAACAAAGGGTATAGTATAAAGCAAAGCAATTACATTCAGTAGCAGTAAAAGAGCACAGCTTTGTGAAAGAGCTCGTCCAGACAAGTACTGCCACCTCACCAATTTCTGCCGCCAAGCAATAATGTAAGCATTACTGTGTTCCGGTTTAAAGGGTGCTGGTGAAATTACAGGCATATGGAACTTGTCAAGTTACATCTCAGAGTAACAGGCGCATTGTCAGTGTCCCTCAGATGTTTGCGATTTAAAGCTCTGAGTGGCACTGCAACTGTTATGTACAGGCGTGTAGCTTACCACCAGGCATACATCCTTGTTCGTGTTTTTGTTCGTCCCGTCACATGATATTATAAAAAATAATAAGATTATATGTTAAGAAAAACTAACTAAACTAAAAAAATTGAGCAATTGAAAATATAAAAAAATATTTACATATTATCTGTCTGGTGCAGTAACCGGATCGTAACACCCTGTCTATTGAATCTTTACTCAATTTAGATTTATTTATTTTCTTCTCTTTAGAAGCAAATAAATAGATCTACAAGATAGACGGCAGCACGCCCCTGCACATAAAATTGTATCGTTGACATCAATGTTAACTGTGCACGGTCAAACTAGTATGAAATCGCGCCACACTCACATGAGCCTCGTTTATACGACCGTATCACCCCACTTGCTCATGAATGTAAATCACCTCACAATACGTATGGAGGACAAAATATAGAGCTTGAAATATTGCCATCGACTCACTAGTGAAGAGGAATTTGCACTCTTGGTGTAATAATATTAAACACTAAACGTTTTTTTCTCGGACTGATTTATAGTAAATATTAAACAACATAAATAATAAATAAATAAATAACATTAGTTAGAAACAATTTAGAAAAGTTTAGAAACAACGACTTAACTACAAACACACAGACCCGAAACAATATAGAAAAGTTAGTTTTTTACCGGGCATCGAATCCGGGACCTTAGAGATAACGAAACCATTAAAACCGGTGTGCAAGCCACTGGACCCTTATTATGTTAGTACCTTTGAATTATCCTAATATCTTAACCTAATTCAAATATTTTCGGGATCCCTTTATGTATTTCCCGATCCAATGCATATAAAAAGGACAATCAGGCTTATCACTAACGACCTCCAGGATGCCATTAATGCTGTCCCGAATCGATCGAAATACAAAAGCAGTTCGTTGTCTGATTGTGGCATATAATTATCATCCCAATGTGTTTTTTTTTTTCAGCCCTGAAAAGGGTCTTATTTAACAATCATCATTGACCAAAAAACAATTTTTTTTTAAATCAACATATTTTTTTTATTTTAATCCGCCAAAGCCGTACAACGTTCTTCCTTGTCTAATGCATAGACTACATCTATGGCCGTAACGGTTTTTCGTTTCGCATGCTCCGTGTAAGTTACACTTAGACTATGGAATTTTTTTTCATCCTCTAAGAAGTTACAGCATCGCGTATGACATTTGCTAAAAATGCTACCAGTACGGCTAGCACGACAGGGCGCGAGTTGCGCGAGAGCAACGGGATATAGCGCGGGATATCTATGCGAAAACAGCAGTATCTCGCGTTAATTGTCGCTCTCGCGTAAGTCGCGCTCTGTTGTGCTAGCCCTACAGAAATTCGTTTGACACCGCCTTTTCTTGTTAATCTTCTAATTGAAGGTTATATTATGTTGGATGTTGTCTCTAAGAACTTTACTGTAGCGTTTCGAACATTTCGGATGCGCTGCGGAATCGAAGGCGCTCTATCAGCATCCAGGCATTATTACGTTGCACACGATAGTTGACGCACAAATATAAAAAGATTGGCAGAAGGACTTTTACGACTTTAGTGTTTTTAACAAATCTGCGGGCCAACATGTTGCATCGTACTGCGTTTCATAAGTAATAAGACCATATCTGCAAAATGACAATAAATAACAAAGTGTAAAGATTAAGAATTATTATTATTATTAATGAAAGTTAGTCGAAAACTTTTTATTAGAAGAGTTATAATATTTTACATATACATAGTTTGTTTCATGTAGTTCGTGTTCTTTTTATGACTTTTATTTATAAAAACACTTTTGACGTATAATCACATATGGCCTTATTATACCAAAAGTATAAGTCAAAACCCAAGTGTGTGAATTTGGATGAAATGAGTTATCTAATAATTGCAGTGTGCTTTTATGCATTTTTCAATGGTAGGTATGCTTATATCAGGCATGTAAATAAATCGCTTCAGTGTTGCTCATAAATCTACTTATCGGATGTCACATTAGAAAAGAACATGAAAAATACGCTACAATGAGTTATTTGATTCATTTTACGAAAATTCACAACACCTCGACGAACCTTTGAATCATACCTCAGCGACGTAAAAAGCCTACAAATTTTTGAAATGTTTAGTAATTCTTGAAACCAAGTATAATTTTAAGGCACGATGAATTAATTATTTCTAAAAATACTTCCTGAGAAAGTAAAAGTTCAATATTTGGCGCAATTGAAAAGTATTAAAAAACTGAATTTACTAACTTATAGGTATTATAATGTAACATCCTAGCTTTCTAATTCATTAATTATATTAATTTCTAAATTAAAAGCAGCTGAGATACTGTTGCTGAGCCTAAGTTAGTAAAGAGTTCGTCATGCCATAACTGTACTTGTTACTAAATCTCTTACCTGTCTCTTGCAAATCTCACATCTAACATTACCTCGAATTAATTGTAATAATGTCACTGACTGATTGTAATAAACGAACGCTATATACGGGACTGTGCAAATAGTTAATTGTTATGCAAGGCTGCAAAGTTATGGTTTCAAGGCACGACGAGACACAAAACAACTTGCTGCCGAGCGAAACACACAACTTTTCACCTCACTATGACGATGGAAATGGTAGATGAAAGAAAAATAGTTGAACTATAAAAAATCAGTTTTCTAAGAAAAAGTTTACCTTCGGTTGCGTTCTGGATTTGCAGCTCATCAATTTTTATTCTTGCTTGTTGTACTTATAATTTTGTATGAATTAGTGATTATTAAAATGATTTTAATTCTTCGACGAATCAAAATAACAATTACTTGTCATTGTCAATTTAATATCAACAATAATAAGATTAAAATATACTAACAGAATTTATATTACATAAATAAGTAATGTACGACAAATCGCGTAGTTGAACGTGTCATTGGTTTTTTTTCATCGAAAGAAAAAGTTAGGTGCACCAAGTGCACCACAGTCCATAATCAAGTTCGAATTTCAAAAACCCTTTCCACGCTAGCTTGCAAAAAAACGCTTTTGCGCGCAGATTTCTAATAAAGAAGAAACCTTTTCCGAGCTAGTGAGGTGAAGAATATATTTTACGCTTACTAGAACTTAAGTTTTGAGACTTTGAAATACGACGATGGGAATTTGAAATGTCGTAAGGAACATTTTGTCGCGAAACTACAACGAAATGTCGCGA